AAGACCAAATATATGTTCATATGTGCGTCCGTTGAAAGTGAACTACGTAGATGATTAATCCGATTATAGACTTATCGAATTCGCTCCGTCGTCTTCTTTTTCCAAGAGCCCTGTTGAGTACTTTTTCTCTTGAGATGTTGTTATGCATGGACTGTACATTAAAGCTCACCAATAGTTTGCTTTCCCCCAAACTGACTCCTTTGAACCTTCGATAGAGGACGCAGGACTAGGTACATTCCAGCAGGTTTTCCTATAGCTCCGACCAATTTGCGTAAACTAATCCAAGTCAACACTTTTTTAAGTTATGTTAATATTGCTTCATAACTAGTGCACTTAAAATTATGCTTCACGTTTCTCTAGATTTTCTTTTTTTCAATAAATGGTTTGCTTTCGTTTTCCACCATTTTTTTAAGGAAATATTGCTTTAATTTATAACTTATTTAATCTATAGCCGAATTATTCGCCAGGAGTTGGGAATTTATTTTACATTGCTTTCTAACTATCTGCCTCTTCGTTCCAGACTGTTACTGATGCCTTTAACTGGCTTTTACTCTGTCGTTATATAATGACTAACTTACCGGACATGCTCAACTAAGTTGTTCGGACAATTTATTTTCACAAGCATTGGCGAGGCTTACAGAGCTCACTTGATTTCGCCACTTGTTTTTACCCACTAGTTTGCCTAGGATTTATTTTGTTAGGGTTCAACTACATATTCGGCGCATGAGTCGGTTTACTTCGATTAACTTAGGGATAGATATTCATTCGCTGTCAAGTCAACTGAATGGCTGTAGACTTGATTACCATGAGTTTTAATTCTTCACTCTTTTTGCGCCATTTTCTTCCCTTTTAGCTAAACTACTTTGAGGCCCACAACTACCGCCTGCGTCCATACGTCTGTATTTTTTTGTTGAAATCTCTATTTCCACTCTACATTCATCGACAAGCGCCATACTAATCAAACAAGCATTGGCTCTTAGCTCACTTAGGTCAAAGTTTGCTTTCAGCTATACAATAGAAATGCTGTTTCAAATTAGGTTGAGTGCTATTGAGGCTCAGTCTAGGTTAATGTAACGATCCATTCTAAATTAATAGGTCATTTGGTAAACATAGCAAAATGAAATTCGTTAGAAATGTGAACTCTTTTCCTCATTTTACTCCACTACATTACCTGAATATGCTAACTATCTATTGCTATTTATCAGCTATTTTGGATTTATCCATAAAATAAATATTTTTACTACCAGAAATTTAAAGAAATGCTTCTTACATTAATTACATATTTGTCTCAAGCCCTTATTTCACATAAGGCATTCAAGAAATATCATAATAATCTTGTTAAAATTGCTAGATAATCTCTCAGCTTTTAGTAAGAGCACATACACACAGTTATAAATAATAAAATAAATATAAATAATAGATTCAGGCTAATTGAGCCACTGGTTCATCGGATTGCCGTTTATTTGGGACAAATTATGACAAAATCAAATAAAGGAATCTCCTGAATTTTCTCCGCTTATTTGGGCGACCATACCGTTTAATTTAAACAAATGTTTAGTGTTGCCGGATATCCACTTATATCCATCCCATACTCGGCGCAACTCACTATCTATCACCACTTACAAGCCTGTACCTTGTGAAAGAATTATCTTTTAACAAACAGTACGATTTATTGTAGTTGTTTGATCTTGTTTTCGCAACTCGATCAATTAAGTAGGAAGACCTAGAGGAACACACCTAGTCTTGAGTTCATAATTTGCATGCTAATTTCCAGAGTTGGACCGTGGACGTGGTACATTCCCAGACGTTTAGCCGGCATCATAACATGCATCATCAGGAAGCGTTCCCATTATTAGCTTCATATTACAAATCGTCAAAGAGACAAGTGAAGCTGATCCTTTGAACAATTGTCTGCTAAGCAATCGTGTTATCTTTTCTGCCATGGGCTATTCACCAATCCTATATTCTCGTACCATATTTAGTTAAATGTGGTATAGTGTGCCCTTTTTAGAGGATTTCATTAGAACTTTCGACACCCCACACTGGCTTTCTCACAACTTCACCCTTGTGCTGGGAATGTTGATCAGAGTCTGTCATATTGTTACGCAGTCCTCCTTCCATAGGTCTTACCACACTCTCTCTCTTGCCCCGTAAGATCCGTCTGGCCTTATCCCTTGTTCACATTTTTCACTTAACCCCTGCCACCCTATTTGTGCTACTCGAGGCGTTATTTCCCACACTCTGTCTTTGGGAGACTAACTTGAGGCTAAATGTCCTGAGTAATTCTCATTGTCAAACCCTTTTTTCATGGACTACGTCTATGATCAAACACGTATATTGTTAGCCAAATAGCTCTAGTATCCATGGCGTCTATCATGTTTCTATCCCTAATAACAATTCTATGCCCTAGACTCTTGTATGCTAACCCTCAAATGTTGTGGTTACGCATTGAATTTAACCAAAGCGAGTAGAACCACAACATTTGTGGGATGGCACACGAAAGTCTCGAGCATAGGAAGTCTTTCAGAGGCAGATTTTGGGGAGTAACGCATCGAGTAGTAAAGATGGGGTAGCAGTGGTCGAGTGAAATAATTGAACCAGGGAGATAGCAGACGGATCCTACGAGGCTAAAGGTAGACTGATAAGACCTATGGAAGGATGACCGCGGTACAATATGGCAGACTGATCAACATTCTAAACACAAGGTTGATTGGCCCAAGGCGGAAAAAGGGATACCACCATTATTTAACAGACAATTTGTAATTCGATTGGCTTCACGTGTCTCTGACGAGTTGTAGTGTGGTGCTAAGAATGGCAAGACTCACTTAGGATGACGGCGGAACTTTTTAGAATGCACCACGTCCATTGCCCTATTCTAAAAGTTATCATGCATACGATGGGCTCCGGACAAGGTGTGTCTTTCTAGGTCTTCCTACCAATATGATCAAGTTGCGGAAAAAGGGTCAAACAACCTCTATACAACGAATGGTGCCTGCGACCATACAAGGCCACACCATCTTGTTCTTCATATCTTCGAGTACGATTTATTTCCGATATTTGTCGTAAAATAAGCAGTAATACTATTTACAACTGTTTTTCTCCTTTTTTAAACATTTGGACTTAGAAATTTCAGATACCAACGTTAGTTAAAAAGTATTTTTTTGGCACTTCATTGTATGAAAAACTACGAAGCCTTTGCAGACACTAACGATAATCAGGAATGTTATAAAGAAAATAAAGATTATGACTATGCAGATATTGAACATATTTTGACAAGAGTTTAATATAAATCTGAATACAAGGAAAATAATGAGATTGGTACACTTGAGCTTGAGTCAGTAACTAATCAGATTTCTAGAAAATTTGTTGCTGGATTACAATGCTACTTAGTGCAAGAAGGCAGTGAAGACAATAATTTATCTGCACTATTGATCTACATTGATTTTTTTTACTTACAATCAATCATGAGAGCATGACGGGATAGACTTGATAAATTGCCCGATAACCATTAACTTTTAGAAACTTTATGCTTATTTGACATATATTAAATATTTAACTATTAAATATTTTTCTTTACTTTGTTCTCATATTAACGTAACTACAATTTTTGCTCTGTAAACGGTAGTTTGTCTTTAGCTTTATTCATTTTTTACTATTAGCATGCAAATTCGCCCACTTGGGGCGGCCGATTTATTAGCTCAAAAGCATCTAGTCTCTATGCCTCCTGAATTAACTGTACAAATTATAGGACAAAACCAACATATACTTGGGAACATATAGTGGTTACTGATGGCATTCTTTGATGCGATGATCCACTTTTTCCAACTCACATAATGCTTTTCTTAAAGCCCGAATGCTAAGCTTCCCCTTTTTGTTTTTCTCTACCTTTGACAATCACTTCATTTCACCGCCTGGCTATTGCCAAATTTTTATATCTTTTACTCTGTGATAACTCGTTCTTATATGCTTGCGTTTTGTCTATTTATTTTTACTCTTACTCTATTTATTTAAATTTACATTTTCTTTTATCCCCTGCCCTATTTCTCCCATTCCTTCATCTTAAATTTTCAATATCTCTCTTTTGTCAACTCCCTTAATTTATTTTAATATCCCTATGCCCTTATTTTTTAGATGGACCCTCATGACACACTGCGATGTCTGCCCGCCAGTCTTTCTTCCTATCAGTTCGCAACTCATGCACATTTTGATGAATTACCTACATTTTCTGGCATCACTGGTACACGCCTTAGCCAAGGCAGTATGACCACTCCTATAGGTACAATCCCCGAAACTGGAACAGACGCTACAGCCCCAGCCTGTCTGTCTGAGGGCCTCGAAACAGTATGCACCCCGGACTTAGATTTTTCCATCGTTATGCCTGCCAAAACCTCTCAGAGTCCTTGCTCCGATCTATTGGGCGTCGATAATGCTATTCCTATTGAAACGGGATCTGAAATACCTTGCAGTAGCTCCAACAGCCCTTCAGGTTATCTGGATATACTTTCATACCCCGCTGGCACTAATAACAGCACTTATCAGGAGGCTTCAGGCAACTCTACAGAGTTACTTCCTTCGGACGACAAGCTGAATAAGGCACTGTATCCTATCTCCGAGGGCCAATCATCTATGGCTGAGGATAATTTTGAGTCGAGTATTTTTCCAAAAATTCCCGATACCGCAGCCGTAGTAAGTTGTTCAAACCAGGACTTTAATATTGTCTCAGGAAGGCAACAACTTCAGCAGGGGAAGACATCACCTCAGTTGAAGTTGCAGAAATCATCCGACTTGGACTCTTCTACAGCAATCAGCCAGTCTTTGGATGCAACCGAGGATCAGATCGACTCACTAAGAATTGACGAGGTACCCACATCTTTATTTACAAAGTAAAAAGGATAGATAGAAACAGGATAGACGCGGCGGCGATGGGAGCTAGTAGGCTGACAGTAGGTTTTATAAGGGACGTGGTCCATGTGGCAAAGGCTTGACCACGAGACTTACTCAGAGGCTTTAGCCTCGAATTAGTCACCCAGACGCAGGGTGGTGCCACTAGCGCCTCGGATGGCATAGATGGGGTGGCAGGGGTCGAGTGAAATAGGTGAACCGGGGAGAAGACAGACGGATCTTACGGAGCAAGAGAGAGACTGTGGTAAGACCTAGGGAAGGAGGGCTGCGTAACAATATTGCAGACTCTGAGCGGTGAGAAGGCCAGTGTGGAGTGCGGAGGATTCTGATGAAAGCCGCTCAAAAGGGCACACTATACTACATTTAATTAAACAAGTAAAATATTGTGACAGTGAAGGTGTGATAGGAGGATATAGGAAATGTGAATAGGCCAGGACAGAAGGGGAAATACCATAACTGTTTAGCACACGTTTGGTCAAAGAATCGGCTTCACTTGTCTCTTTGACGAGTTGTAATA